AATATTGTTCAAAAATATGTACTGAATTCTGCCTATTCTGTGCCAGGCATAGGAATACAGAAATGAATAAGACATAGTCCTTACCCTCAAGAAATTTATAGTAATTGATGGGGAAATGGACATGTAAACAAATGTGACTTGCTCATTGTGTGACCTTGGGAAGTTGCTTACCCTTCTGAACATCTGTCTCTTTTTCTGTAAAATAGATAATAGTCCTTATACCGCAGGGTTATCATGAAGATTAAATGAAATAATGTATGAGAAGTGCCCTGCACATAGTACACACTCAATGAATGGAAGTAGTTATTATTGTTTTAGTGATAAGATAATTATAATAATTTGTTATAGTTGCTGTGATAGAAGATCTATATCTCTGAACTCTTTCTAAAGTATGAAATGAATTCTTGGACAATCATATAGTATACAAAAAGTGGCACTCCATAATAGTCTTTTTTTGCATTTTTACATTGAGATGAAGGTGAAAATGTACACATCATATGTTTGAACACAAGAGCGATCTTCCTGGTCCATGTGTCACAGAGCCAATTTCGGGCACTTCTTTAGCTATACAGATTTCTCCTCTGGCCATATCTGAATATCTGGAATGAAGCTGCATACCTCCCTGCCCACAGCCATAAGTAATCGTGGAGACAGGATGTTCATATGGCCCAGGGCTGATGGCTGCCTCCTGCAGGGGATTTTTTTCTCCCAGCTTAATAAGCACAGCTTACTTCCCATCCTTAATGGGGTTGCTTATTTGCTTGACATTGACTTTTGTGAAATAGTTTTTCTTTCCCACATAGATAAAAAAACAAGAATTGAAGTGTATCTTGATACCAAAAATTCTGAGCTTTAATTACTAATTAAATTTAAAGATAATTCCAGAGGCAAATTTAAGCAGAATTAAGTGATAGAAAATAATAGTATAAATATTTTGGGTGGACTCTCTGTTTTAGGGATTAACTAATATGTAATTACTAGAGACATTGTTGGGGTTTTTCTCCTCATTTCTTTACTTCCCTGGAGGGTTTTTAAAGCACTGATATTTGTTTCTCCTGTCTGGATGTGTATCTGGCTATGCAGATCATTCCACATTTCCCTGGTTTTCACTAGCTGATTCTCCTTGCAGATATAGTGTGGTGCAATGGTCTAGAGCTCAAGTTTTGGAGTCAGGCAGACCTGGGTTTGAATTCCGGCTCTTCTGTTTACTAGCTCTGGGATCTCAGGCAAAAATCTCTGAAGCTCATTTTTCTCATTTGTAAAATGGCAATATTAGTATCATTAATACTATGATACAGAATGAACATGAGTTAAAAGAACGGGGTTAAAATAGATAAGAAATGTAAACTGCTCAACAGAGTCTCACAGTATATGCTTTTTAGTTTTTAGTTATGATGACGATCATGTTCATCATACTTTCATTAAAGCATCTCATACAGTGCTTGGCACATGGTTGACGCTCAAAACTTGGTAGCTATTATAATAAGTTACTTATAGTTCCTAACTGCCAGGATTATGGCTCTATTTTTTAATTTTTAAAATTTTTTTAGCGATGAAAACAATCATTAGCCTAGTACTTAGGGACTTGTTTCATTCCTCTAACTCTGACAGCATCTGGCACCATCCTATCATATAGTAAGCACTCAATACACAGCTGTTGAATATTCAATTAAATGGAACATCTTTTCAGACTTTAGCGCAAGAGCTGTGTCACTAAATAGCTGTCATTCCAAAACTGATAGCCAACCCTGACACAGACATGTTTGCATAGTTCGTAAGCCATGATTTCAACTTCCTGCATTGCAGATGTCTCAGTTAATAGTCCATTCCATTCACATGACCCTTAGAAAAAAAGGACAAACTAATAGAAATATCTGCTAAGAAATATTTTAGAAGCTAAGAGAATGAGTTTTGGTCTAGGTATAGATCCAGGCTTACATCCTGGCTCCAGCATGGCCTAGTGAGTCAGTTGCTTAATCTCACTCAGAACATCCATCTTCTCATTTGTGAAAAGGGAATATTCATAGCCTCTATCTCATTTGGTTATTGTGAGAATAGTCACTTCTTTCAGAAAGCTTCCCTGCTGCTGTAGTAGATCGTGTTCACTCTTATATTCTCCCTATAGTAACTGCCAATTACCCTGTGTAATTACTTCTTCGACTACTCACTTCCTTTCTGGACTGTGAACTCCCACAGGACAGAGATGTTAACTGTCTCATTGATCCCTGTATCCTTAGTGCGAACAGTCCCTTGGTACATAATATTTTGGGTGGACTATATTTGTTAACTGAGTGAAATAATAAGATAATAACACACATAAATACAGAGCCTAACATTTAGCAAGCTCTCAATAAATAGGGTATATTATCATTAACAACATTGTATTGATGCTGAGTTTATCCACCTTGAGAAAAATAATATGGTAAGAGGAATGACAAATTAGAGACAGGTATTGTGAATCTAGCTCTGTTTCTCATTTGTTATATGTCCTTGGCCAAATCCTTATTGTTCTCATTTTTCCACTGTTAAAATGAACGTAAAACATTCACCCTGGGGTCCAACTTAACTTGGTTCTTATAAAGTCTGCCCTTTGCCAAACTGCACCTGATGTGCTATCCTGTGTTTTCCCAGAGTTTTTAGAAATTTAGATCCTTTACTGCCCTAGTACTCTACTATCTCAGCTGCTGATTGTTGACTTTTGACCCTCTTCCATTCTGTCTTTGTCTAGCTATTCAGTTTGTTACACCAATTGCTATCTCCTAGCTTCCAGACTTGAACTACACTCATCCTCATGGTACAGTCCAAAATCCTTAAGGTGCTGACTGGAGCCTCATCTTCCCACCTTCCGCTTGCTCACTGTGCTCCAGCCACCAGGCTTTCCTGAAGTTACTAGGAGGCACGAGCGTCCCTGATTCAGGGCCTGGTCTCTTTTCTTGGAGCACTGTCTCCCTCTCTTTATCAGGCTAACCTCTATTCAACCTTCATGTCTCAACTTTAACATCACTTCCTCAGGGAGCATTATTTGGCTTTCTTGGAAGAAATTAGGTTTCATTGTTACATGCCATCTTCCTTGTAGATCTGGTGTGATACATTGTCAGAGCTTCACATTTTAAAAGAGAAGTTAAGAATCTGGATTAAATGTGAAATTTCTGTTTTTAATGATGGCAGGTAATTTTAAAATTATAAAATACTGAGGGCTGAACCAAAATATTTGTAGGTTAGTGATCGCCTGTGGCCTGCCTGTTTGTAACCTGAGTTGTCCAACCTTTGGCTATAATTGGCAACTATTGCTATGTTAATCATCATTCAATTTGTTAACTGTCCACTCAATGAGCTTGGTGCTTTACATAGATGATTTCATATAATATCCAAAACTACTTGTGAGGTTATGTAAGGTTCAGAGAGGTTAAGACACTTGCCCAAGTTTACAAGCCTCAAGTGGTAGAGCCAGGTGTTCAAGGTCTTTCCACTGGACTACTGTGTGTCAAGGTACAATCGTCAGTTCAGAATGGGAGAGGCTTCTGAAGTTCTGCCTAACGACAATTACTAATATTTGTTGTGTGCTCACTATGTGCCAGGCATTGTGCTAAGCACTTTACGTGATCTGATTCAATCCTCCCAACATACAAAGGAGCTACTGTTATCATCCCCATTTTAAAGATAAGGAAACAGAAGTATAGAACAGGTATCTGATTTACCCAAGGTAAAGACAGGATTCAAACCCAGACAATCTGATGCCACACTCTCCAAACACCAATAGATTCAAGCTGGGGGAAAAGGGAAGAATTCATGTTACTCTTTCTCCAATCCAAAGCCCCACAGAGGACTCAATTCCGAGAGGTGCTGAGAGATGTGGCCTGCAGGTGGCAGCAACATTAAGTCTCTAAATTGTGTAATGTTCAAACTATCTTGAGGGAGTTTTACACAGTCAGATTCACTTATTTGCATATTATTCTCTGATTGGCCCAACTAATTATTTGCCAGTTAATTGGACTTGGTTCTCAGCCCAGGGAGAACTGCCAGGCTTATACAGCCATTTACAACTGTGATAGAAGAGAGCCTACAGGATTTGAAACTATGATGAAGTCTGTGAAGTCTTCCAGTCCAACAACCATCATGGTGATTTTCTCTGTGTTTGGTGGAACAGTGTTTCAGTAGACCCCCCAACACTTTTTGAGTTCTTAGCTTAAAAAAAAAAAATCCCTGTTTTGTTGCTGTTTCTAAGGTCCCATAAGGTATAATTTTAAGGAAAAATTCAATAACACGAAAGAGTACACAGCGTAGTTAGTCTCTCTATCAAGCTTACCCCAAGTCACACTATTTTCCCACCCTCGATGGAAGCTGTGTATCCTTCCAGGTATAGACTATGGATATAAAAGTATATGCATATATCCTTCTAAAGAAATAAATGATAACCTAAAACTATAAACTTCTATAAGAAAATTTAGAGGGAAATGTTTGTGATCTCATGTTAGGCAAAGATTTCTTAGATGACATGATTCACAGGAGAAAAAAGGACAAATTGAATTTAATCAAAAATTTAAATTCTGCTCTGAAAGATACTGTTTAAGAGAATGAAAAGAAAAACTACAAACCAAGAGAAAACATTTGCAAATCACATATCTGATAAAGGTCTTGTACTTAGAATATATAAAAAAACTCATAACTCATTAATAATAAGAAAACAACCCTGTAAAAAAATGGGCACAAGACTAGTACAGATACTTCACAAAAGAAAATCTATAAATGGCAAATCAGCACAGGAAAAGAGGCTGAATATTATTAGTCATTAGGGAAAAGTACATTTCATTGAGATATCACTACACACATATAGGAATAGCTAAAAACAAAAAATATTTTTTAAAAATCTGACAATATCAAATGCTGGTAAGCATACAGAGCAACTGAATCTTTCATTCTTGATGGTGGAAATTCAAAATGTTGTAGCCATTTTGGAAGAGTTTGGATTTTTTAAAAATAAGTTTAGAATGTATACTTACCACAAAACTCAGCAATTCCCACTCTTAAGTATTTGCCTAAAAGAAATAAAAACTTATGTTTCTACAAAAATCTGTACACAAATGTTTATAGTAGCTTTATTCACAGACGACAAAAACTGGAAACAATTCCAATGTCTTAAACTGAATGCTGAAACAAACTATGGTACACCTATAAAATGAAATACTACTCAGCAATAAAAAGAAACAAACTACTGATACGTGCAACAATATGAATGAATTTCACATGCATTATTCTAATTTAAAGTAGCCAGATTAAAAAAGCTACATACTTTTCTATTTCATTTGTATGACTTTCTGGAAAAAAAAAAAAAAAACTACAGAAACAGAAAACAGATCTGTGAATGCCATTATTGGGGGAGAAGAGTTTATCATAAAAAATAGCATGAGAAAATACTTGGGGCTAATGGATAATTTAGATTATTATGGTGGTGGTTATACAAGTGTATGCATTTGACTCATAGAACTGAACACCAAAAAGAATAAAATTTACTGTATGTAAAACAAAAAATACTTTGAAAAACAAAATCCAATACTTCCTCCCCTCACCCTCACCACAAAAGTCATTGATTTCAGGTTGGCATAAAAGCAATTGTTGATACAAATGAATTACTGTTTTCCTTACAAAAGAAAAACAAAGAAGGTAGCCTATTTTGTGCACTGCTCTGCTCCATGCTTTCTCTTAAATAGAGAACTATCTCATGCATATAGAAAAATAGAAATTTATATAACAAACATCTAAGTACTTTTCACCAACTTTATCAAACCTTCACATTTTGCCTTATTTTCTTACAATTTTTTTCAAGAGATAAAATGACAAAGATACGTTTTAAACCCCAGTGTATCCCTCCTTTCACTCATTCCCTTTCCTCTCTTCAGAAGAAATTCCTTGCCTGAAGATTTTATTTCCACACGATTTTATATTTTCACTATGTATGTATGCATCCTTAAACAGTAGTGTTGTCTGTCATGTTTTAAATTTTTATATACACGATATCAAGCTGTGTATACCCTTGTGCAACATTTTTTCTCAATATTTTATCCATGCTTTAGTTTATTCACATTAACTGTTTCGTAGTATTCTATATCACAGACTACTTGCCCATCTCCAATAGATAGCTATTTAGATTGTCTCCTTTATTATTTGTTTGCTATTTTAAACAGTGCTACAATGAACATCCTCATAGCTGCAGCCTGTGTCTACATTTATGGTTGGAAAGTTGGAAGCTTAAAAAAAGATAGATGAAAACTAACATTACCCACCATAACAGTTATTGTTTATCAAGCATTGAATATATATCTAATACAAGTATTGGGTACTTTATGTATTACTTTAATTCTCACACCAACTTATATATTAGATATTATAATGTTTCCCACTGTACAAGGAGGAAACAATCTTAACAAGTTTTAAAAATTTAGCCAAGGGCACACAGATAGGAAGTGGCAGATAGTTTTGTTGCCAAAGCCTCTGCTCTTAACATCATACTCCAGCAGTGCCCGTAACCCCCAAATCCAGACATAGTAATGGTTTAAATAGTCTTTACTGTTAATTGGTCTCTCAGAAGACAAGAGAGACCTGGCCCAGGCCACTTTCCATTTTAAAAATTATATGGAGGGTATAATATATATGCAAAAAAGTATAGATAAGTGTAGAAAAGTATACACATCCCAATTGCTGAATTTCTACAAACTGAATATACCCAATGGACCCTGTAATAAATCTAACTGAAAGTAACCACACAGGGTGATCTGATCATAGATTCCTAATTGGGCAGGTCATGGTGGGTTGTCAGTGCTTCAGGCCTGTACCTTCCCTAGTTAAGAGGTTATCTTTGCCTCAAGCAAGCCCTGTCCATTGTTTTTGTGAATCTAGGTTAACATACTTTTGAGATGCCTGATTTTCATACTCCTGGAAAGTGTACCAACCTTCAATACAGCACATAATCTTGTTAACTAACCTGAATGCAATCATAGATTTCCCCGCCTTTCTCCTGGAGGCCTGAAACAGACTTGAGAGAGATGGTGGCTTCCTCTAGGTGAAGGTAGTGGAGAAAATGGAAGGAGCTATTTGGGATGTAAAAGAACTGGACTTAAGCGGCTTAAGTCTGTGTCAAGAATGATTCCTGAGTTTGTCTTCACTCACAAAATTGAATTTTGCACTTCAATTGGCCCTCAATAGTTTTTCTTTTAGGGGAGATTGTAGCTGAAATTCGGCCACACAGGAACTCAACAATTTTTTGAAACAACACACTTGCATCCGCTCCCTCCTCAGGCACTGACTGGTGCTCAGTATTTGAACTCTGTCCTCCCAAGTCCAAAGACCTTTGTCCCGCTCAGTACCGCCCAGGAGAGGTGGCCAAGTTCTACTCCTACTCGCGGGGTTCCAACAGCCGGGCGGCGCATGCCTGGAAAGGCCGTGTGGGGCCCACCGCCCGCGGAGATTCCCGCCATTTTGTCCGTCCCGCGGCACAGCCTGCGCGGCCCGGGGGGACTACAAGTTCCGTGAGGCCCCGCGGCGGCGCTTCCTACCCCTTACAGTCTGGCCCGCTCCCTCTCCCCCTCTCCCGGGGGCCGAAGGCTCTGGCTGCCGCTGGTGGCCGGCGGGCCATGTAGGATTTCCGGGGGAAACTACTGTGGAGGCTGAGGCGGCGGCGGCGACTCGGGTGAGTTCGGCGAGCGAGAGAAAGTGAGCGGGGAGTGTGCGAGGTCCGACCGCTGGCGCCTTTTAGGTTCGGGCCACGTTCTTGGTTCCGCCAGGGGGTCGCAGTCCGGGGGAGGGAAATGGCTCTGGCCGTGGTCGCCTCGGCCCAGGGCGGGCCGGGGCTGCCGCCTCCGCCGCCGCCCCCCTCCCACCGTGGTCCCCGCGGTGGCTCCTCCAGCGGCCGCGCGCCCGGTTTCGGCGGCTTGGCGGGGCCCTTTTGTCTGGGCTACTTTGCGCCCCTTTGTGCTGGTGTGTGGAGTCGCTCCTCGGGGAGCCCGCCGGGCCGGTCCCTGACGGGGACCTGTCCCTGGGGATCCGGTTACAGTAACCAGATCGGATCAAAGTCCATTTTTCAAAACCGTCCTGTCTCCGACCTCTGCATCCCGGCTGGGCAGAGCGGAAGCTTCAGACTCCGGCAGAGGTAGACGGAATTTCTGCAGAAAACCTCGAGGTTATTGTCTAAATTATTAAGCGTCAGCCCGGGGCTGCTTCAGGGCACGAAACTCGGGGCGTTTTTCCAGGTGGTGGTTGGGGGAAGATGGGCCTTTGGCAAAGAAGTGAGCCCCACTCTCTGGGAAACCCCAGAGGGATCGGCTTTGCAGCGATGTTTGTATGGGTCGCAGCTGTGATCGGGGAACCCAAGAATCAATGCGATGGGCAGAATGGTAGTACACCTCTCGAATTTCGGAGGAGAGAAAGTGATTTATAGGGCAGCGAGCAGCTTTTTCATTCATTGCATGCAGAAAAAGACTACAGCACTTCATCCACACTCCCAATTCCTCGCCTCCGCCCCATCATCCTTATTTCTTTTGCTTAAAACAGAAAGTCGAAAGAACGTCCATCAGTAGAACGACCTGCTTTGTAGAGAAATCAGAAACTTAGTGGCTTCTAGAAAGTAACAGAAAGGACTAGTTGTTCACCAAGTAATAGGAATGAAGCCAGTTTGCTGGAAGGAGAGGTGGTAGATCCTTACTACAACCGGTGCATGTGTGGATTTGATAAAATTTTGTTAGTGGTTACGTTATGTATGTCCCGTTGGAGGACTGAATCGCTAGATATTCGGCTTAAGATAACTCTTTGTAAGGTCATTGCAGGTACTCTTTTTGAAAAATAGACGTAGTATTTCAAGTTTGAAATGAGGACAACCAGGGCCTCTTTACATGAATCAGGGAAAGTTATTAAAGTTAATATAGGTTAAATTCCCACCCTAGCCAAGTAGGCAGATAAAACCCTTTGTACTTCATTGCTTTCATAATGGAAGCGATTTATTCTGAGAATCCCAGATTGTGTTAGTAATATCCTATTGGGATAGAGATCTTTAATGCAATTGTTCTTCATTTTTTAATCCAGCAGTGAGTGGGGATTGTTTGTGTTTTCCTAACTATGCTTTGAAGAAGCATCCACTGAATTGTTCCAGTAGTTTTAAAACTGCAGTTGCTAATGACTGGCTGTTACTTATTTCTCCAAACATTACAATGCTATCACTGTTATTTTTTGAAAACATCTTATATACATTACGTAATTTAATTCTCACTATGATTCTGTGAAGTGGTTGTTCTCTCATTTTATGGCTGATAAATGTTAAATTTACAGCCTCAAAAATGCTGACTTGCCCAAGGTAACAGAACTAACTTAGGAAGGAAATAGTAAAGTAAACCATACTCCAAGTCCAGTGCTCTTTCCATTACCTTAAACCTATTGTTGTTACACCTCTTACCACCTTGTGATTTACTGCAATTTAAATATTAGAGAAAAATAATGAAAATATTTTCCAATCAGCAAACCGATTTATTAGGAACTAGAGTTTCTGGAATTATAAACAATCGTTCTGAACCAGAAGTCATACTGAATGTTGGTCCCATTACTTTATCTTATGATGTGCTGTGATTATCTTGTACCTAGACAGAATGGCAAATTTATGGATCCCTAGAGGTGGAAGGATGGTGTGTTCCTGGGCTGAGGTTTTGACTAATCTTTGCTTAAAGGTTTATTAAGAAATATGTTGGAGAACGTATATACAGCAGCTTTGGCTGCTGGAACATTGAAGAACTGAAACTTTTCAAATACTTTTCTAGCCAAAGAGTCAAGACTCAAGAAAATGCTTTCTTTAGTTTTTGCTCTTACTAAAAAATTTTAATCAGTTTCAGACCTGCAGTTTAAGTCTTGGATTTATGTTAGAACATGCCATGAATGTGACATCAGAAATAGAAACCTATTTCACCTCCCTCACTTAAATTCTTTTGGGGTAAAATGCATAACATACCAATAGAATTGAGTCAATACAATTAGTCTGGCTTTCCTAACTAGTAGAAGCCTGTTTTAAATCTCTCTTTTATTATGTAATCATAATGGGAAGGAACTTTTTCCCCTTGTGTGTGTGTGTGTGTGTGTGTGCGCGCGCGCGCACGTGCGTGCGTGCATGAGTGTGTGTGTGTGTTTTGCTGTAGTCTTACTTCCAAGTCAATTCATTAATTCAGTCAACAAATATTTATTGAAAGCCTTTTGTGTTCTAAGCACTGTTGTAGACCAACCCTGAGGACAAAGCAGCGAAAACAAAAGAAGTCTTTTCTTTTTGGGGACTTATGGACTGATGGGGGTGGGGGAAGAGGGAGGAGTCAGACAGTAAATAAGTATTAAATACAGTCCCTTCTTATTTACTGTGCAACTTTGAGGGGTAACCTCTTTGAACTTTAGTTTTCTCATCTTTAGCATGAAGGTAATGATTCCTTCTCTACCTAGCTTGTGGAATTGTTTCCAGAAGCGGGCAGGATAAGTATATGGTTGGTTGTATTATACTCTTCAAATTCCTATAGTAAGTTACCGTTACTACTATTAGAAAAGGGAAAGGACAATTGAAAGAAGGTTATTTAGAAAGAAAGTCTAATTTCTGGTCTACGAGAAACTAATGTCCCATTGTGAACCGTCTGCGATTATTAGTCATGTCTTCGCATAGGCTCCCATAACCCTTTATGTAGACATTTTTTTTAATAGCACTTAACGAATAAGACCATTATTATTCTGTATTGTCACAGTTAACTGTCTTAATGGCAGGGACTGTGTCCGAGTCTACATCCTTACTGCTTAGCACACAGTCCAGGTATTTCGTTGGAACTTTATAATTTATGTTGAGTGAGTGAATGAATAAAAAGTAAGCAGAGGTAGTTGTGGAGAATATCAGAACACAGATGTGATGGCAAAATGGTTCTTTTATTCAGCAGATTTTTGTTGTTATTGTTTTGACCATCGTGTGCTAGGATCTGGGTTATGTTCTGGTGGTACCAACATATGAAGGTATATAGATTCTGCTTTGAAAAGCTGACATGACAACATTTAACTGTGTGGTGGGGGTGTTTAATATGGGTAAGGGCCTGAATGATTCTATTTGGTAGTCAGCGAAGGAAGGGATTACAGAGAAAGTGATTTTGGAGTTTGTTCTTGAGGGATGAATAAGAATTCACTGGGTAGGCCAGTTAACATTAAGGTTATTCAAGCCAGAGGGAGCATCTTGAGCATAAGAATGGAGATGCAAAAATATGAGGTGTGTCTGGGAAGAGTGAGCAGTCTGGTATGGCTAGAAGGTATTGCAGTTGGTTTTTCACATTTTGGGGGTTAGATATCTGCTCTAGAAAATTTGAGAAGAGCATTAGATTTCCAGCCCAAAAAATTGCAAATAAGCAAACATATGCAAATAATTTTAGGAAGTTAGGGAATGCTGTGGGGTCTCTGGACTCCTGGGGTGGAGTAGCTGAAGAGTTACAATGGTGGTGAAAGGAAAGTTTGCTGGTTTGAAAGTTTGCTAAAGATAGTTCAGGCTTTTGATTAGGGAATTGCTAAACAATCGAAGGTTTTTAAGCAGGTATTTACAATCCGATCTGTTTTTAAAAGTAATTGCTGTCTTCAGGGTAGGTTAGAGGGTTTAGGAGAGATGTTTAGAAAGTACGTGCTAAAGAGACGGGATTGAGGGCCTTTTTAAATTTTGTTTTTTATTTTTGAAGAATGGGAGAGATCTGACTTGTTTGAAAGTAAAGGAAAAGGAGCCAGCAGAAAGGCAGATATTGACGATCTACACAAGAGGAAGAGGTGAGCCTTGAAAAGGAAACATGAAGAAAGGATGGAAGAAGATATATTTGGAAGTGATGGAGATGGAGCTTGAAATTGGAGTAGTTACCAACTGCTTATTCTGTATCCACACACCGATCTATGTACTTTTATATATGTTATTTAACTTTACAAAATTCTATAGAGTGGGTAGGCATTCCCACTTGACAGTAGATCACGGCTCAGATGAACTAAATGCCCCGAAGGCACCAAGTCAGTGGAAGAGATCTGGAACTCATATGTTTCGACTACAAAGCTCAGGATCATAATTTCTGCTTTAATAGGGTCTTGTAATGTCTGACAACCTTTTTTTTTTTCTTTTTTAATCTTCCTTTCTGAAAGAATGGGTTATCTGCAGCATGATGAAAGGATAGAGTAGGCTAGACGACTTCAGAGTGTTAAAAGTTTAGGATAGCAGTAGCAGAAAAGGTAAGGAAGTCAACCAGAGGGCTGCTGAACAGCCTTTAGCATTCAGCTGAAGTCAGACACAGATTATCCAGTAGTCCACCCATTCTGTCTCCTACATTCTCAGACAACGTTTCTTGAATATTGTTGTGAACCTCAGAAGACACACTAAATGTAATGGATGGCACTGATGCCACTGTCTCTGAGCAAGTCATAAGTCTTGTGCTTCAGTTTTCTCATCTCTAAAAGTGTCTGCTCTATTAGCTGATCTCTCAAATTCTCGGATTTTATAAGTTACTACCAAAAACATTCCAAGGGGTTTTAGGAGAGGAAGCGTGTTTAGTGACTGAGTTTTTAGGAAAGAGATGGTCGAAACTACAGCTTTCGGATTCAAGTGTGGTTTTCAGTTTAACTTCTCTATTATGTTTAAAGCAAAACCAGATGTTTGTTTGATAATCTGAAAGTTCTGACATATTTACTCCATATGAAGCATTTATTTCCTTTGGAGTCTGAAGACTTGGGTTCTAGTTCCAGGTCTATGGCTTCCTAGCTGTGAATATCCAAGTCAGCTAACCTCTTTAAACTTTAGTTTCCTCATTTATAAAATAGGGATAGTAATAATTTCTTCAGAGGTTTCGGGTGAGGTAATAGATGTGGGAGGTCTTTGTAAAGTGTGTAGTATTTAATAAATATAACAACACATTTATTAAATATGTTGTTATATTTAATAAATATGTTGTTATATTTATTAAATATAAGTTGTTATACCTGGTATATAAGTTGTTATACCTGGCAAAGGAAAAGAGGTAGTACTGTGATCAGTGCTGTATGAGGGAGAGAGCACAGGTTTAAAGTACATTTTTCGGTTCTGGAGTATTGAGTGGTAAGGGAAACAAACCTCTCGGTGTGAACTGTCAGTGCAATGAATTTAGAAGTTCATTTGTAGTATATTATGTTGCTGGGTGTTTTTTTCAGGTATACATTTAAAATAGAATCTAATCTTGAATCAAATTTGTGACTTAAAAAACTCTATTGTTAAAGATTCTCTATATTTATTCTCTCAAATATGAACTTGTTAAAGATTCTCTATATTTATTCTCTCAAATATGAACTTGTTAACTAAATTTCCAAGAGGATTTTTAGATAGATGTTGACTATATTTTATTTAAGAGTAGGTAACAAGTTTATGATTGTCTTGACAGAACTTAAGTGCATTGCTTGGTTTGTTAGTTTCCTTATGGATGCCTTGTTCTGATGGAACTCAACATATTTAATCTCTTACAGAAGATCCCTTTTCCTGCCTTTACCCTACACATGTCATCTGATAACCAGTGTCCTTGCTTCTCCCTACATTGCTGCTTGCTTACTCTCTTCTTTGCAAGTTGATTGGCAACATAGTGTCAGAAATTGGCATAAGGGATTAATGATTCATCCCTACCTTGAGTGATCCCAAAGCACTTTGTCCATATCTCTCTGCAGAGTGCTTTTCCCTCTGTAGTTTACTTTTCGATATTCTCCCTACTAAACTGTACCTGTATATGAAAAACTGAATTAGAAATTCCTATGTCATTGGTTTCAATTTATTTAATCATTACACATGATAAACAGTTTTTACAAATAATGCTGCCACATAGATCTTTGGACATGTAATTTTTGTTTGTTTGTTTTGTTTGTTTTTTAATATGAGATCACTGGGTCAACAGGTATGAACATTTATATAGAGCTTTATTGGCTTTACCAAATTGTCAACATCAATATTCTAATTTTCAGCACTACTAACAGTTCAGTACTTGTTTATTTACAACCAACCCTACTAGTAATAGATTTTAATATTTTAAAGTAAATATAGCCTACGGCCATGCCACCCTGAACGTGCCCGATCTTGACTGATCTCGGAAGCTAAGCAGGGTCAGGCCTGGTTAGTACTTGGATAGGAGACCACCTAGGAAGGCCAGGTGCTGTAGGAAAGGGAATAAAGAAAGGAAAAATAAACATATTTCCAGTTTAACAGTTATAAATGCTGCATAATTATTGTTTTAACATTTTAATTATTAAGAAAAACAATTTTTCATATGACCGTAAATTTTATTCTTGTTTTTTGCTCATTTATTTGTTTGAGTCTTTATGGTCTTAGATACTTTTGTAAGCCTTTTGTTATGAATATTATTTATTTTCAAGTTTATTGAAAAATTTCTCCAAGACTCTGGTATTTATTTTTAGTTTTGTTTTGTACAGAAATCTAAATATTTCATGCCATAACTATTCACTCTTTTCATTGTAATTTTTGTATTTCTTCCATCATTAGAAAGTTATTTCTCCATAGGTAAATACTCTCTCTATTAATTTTTCAACTTTTGTTTCTGTTAATCTTTCTTAACTTTTTGAAAATTAATTTTGTCATATGGGATAAAAATGTTATTCTAATTTTTTTTCCATAATGCTATCAGTTATTCCCAGTAGCAATTGTTTTGAGTTTTGGAAGACACTAAATTAAAGTGTTTTTATTCATCTTGAAATACTAATATCCACCCAGGTCGTTAGAAATTTAAAACCTTCACTTATTTATAAGGGATCAAAGATATTAAAAAATAATAAAGTATGTTTCTCACATTAGTGTTGATGATGTATTTCATTCGTATTTACCTCAGAATGGGGTTCATAGAGAAATGGTTGTTCTTTGGGTGTGTTGATTGTTTATAGAATAAGGTTAAAAAGTGGAGCCCCGAAACACTTTTCCCCATGTCCAGTAAGTGACAGATAGAAAGGGGGAGGATTCCTAAGGGAAAATACAGCCTTACCTCCTCTTCTCCTTCCTCACTGATAAATCCTATTAAAAATGCTGCCAGTAGATGCCAGAGTTGCTGTATAGAGCCAGTCATAAGGTGTGAAGAATACTTTTCATTTCCTTTTACTTGGATACACCCAACTTTACCGCCTGTCCCTTCCTCTGAATTTAAATTTGAGGGAGAGCAAGCATTATGACTCAGGATATGAGAGCACCTTTACTGTATGTATTAAAGGATGATACATTGTCTCTTACCTATTGGTGGCACCAATAAGACTGGGAATTTTAATAACAGCCTTTTGCATACTCTACATGCTTACATAAAATTAAGTAAAAGATAACTGGCTTCTGGGACATCTTTGTATAATTGAGAGAGGGGCTTCATCCTTCCACTGTAGCCACATACCACTTAAGACCATTCTGTTAAATGAATGTATTTTTGCATACTGTGGCATGAGATAAATGAGAAGTCTTTGCATCAATCATTGCATACTTTCTATACATTTTTATTATGGTCAAGTTGACCATTTTAATCTTTTTTAAGCATATAATTCAGTGACATTAAGTATATTCACAGCATTGTGCAGCCATCACCACTAACCATTCATTTTCAGAACTTTTTCATCATCCCAAACAGAAACTCTTTACCCACTAAATAATAACTCCACATTGCCCTCCTCCCTCAGCCCCTGGTAACCTCCATTCTACTTTGTCTCTATGGATTTGCCTATTCTAGGTACCTCATGTAAGTGGAATAATAATATTTATACTTTTGTATCTGGCTTATTTATATTTTTAAATTATCATCTTCTCTTTGTGCTTACATTTATTTTGCAGAAAATCAGAAGTTCCTTCTAGCTTCTTAACTCTTTGGAGGAAAGCTACCATTTTAATAAAGTAGAAAAGCAGCACTTAACTCTCTTCAGGGCTTAAAGAATTAATAACATAAGTATCTCTTCAGATACTTAAGGAATTAATAACCAAAGATTTAGAGGATTTGGTAAATAAAATATTTTAGTATATGCTCTTGCTTTTAGAGTGTAGAATAGAATAAAAAATATTAAAGAACAGTTGTTGAACAGCTTCTTCCTTTTAACTAAAAGGTTAAAAGGATTAACCTAATATCAATATGCCATATTAAATTCCTGTAAATAGTGAACTTAAATATGTCATGCGGAAATATTCATACTCGATATCACTATAATCTAGGCATACATGAACTTTTTTTAAAAGTTCATTTAAGTCAGTCTTTCTATCAATCACTTTTTGATTTTTAACACTTTATAAACATGTAGCCAAACTTGCTTTATTAAAAAGAAAATTTTCTTGCCTGAAGTTCATTTTTAGTATTAAGTATTCCAGGAGAAGAAATAAGATGATTAATTCTGATCTGAAAATCTTAAAAATAAATTTTAATTGTAAAAGAAAATATACATAGAAATTCAGATAGTAAAGAAGCACATAAAATAAAAAGCAAAAGTCTTTACCTTCACCCTACTGTCTCTTAGTTCCACTCCTGTCCCACTGATTAACAATATTAGTGAATATCCTTCTATTCCTGCCTATTATGCAACTTTTCTTTTTTTTTTTCCAACAACATATTGAATACATCCTTTTACATTAGAACATAGTAGGTATCTTTCATTCTTTTTAATATCTGTATGGTATTCAATGCATAAAGGTTTTGTACTTTAACCATTTTCCTATTGACACACATTTCAGGTCTCTCCCAATTTTTGCCATTATACATAATACCTTTTGTGAGTAGAGATAGTTTTTCTGTAGTTTAGAA